CCATGAGGAATATAATAATAGAGCTGAAAAGAACTCAGATTACTTAATACAAATCTCTCATTTTCGGCGGTTCTGCAATAAAGGAGTCTGTCCTACACAATCATAGCTATTAGTGGCAGAACAGAACTAGAACACATTTCTTGAGTGTTACTAGTTCAGTGCTCTTTCCAATAACTCTGATTTGCAAGATAAATATCCAGGACTCATAAGCTTGTTTTAAATAAAATAATTTTCAAGGGTTTTTTTGGTTGTTGATAGCTGTTATCTTATACACCAAAAATATCTCCTAAATGTGTCCATGATTATCTTTATGAATAGGAAATACTTCACATCCAGTGACTTTCACAGCTTGTTAGCTTTGGTAAATTTAAAAAAAGAGTCATCAGTTTTCTACTATACTACAAAATTTACTAAGATAAACCAAATCCACCCATTAGCTCTCTAACATAGAGTGCAGAATTCTTTTTATTGCCTTAACTTTTATTTTTCAAAAATGAGCCCTGGGTATTTTTTAACATGTAGTAGTGTCATGTAATATGTATCTTACACCTGCATATTTTAGTAACAAATGAAATCAGTAATATTTAGATAATTCATAGTGTATTTATAAAATGATTTTTTTTAATCAAAATACACTTCTCACTAAGATAAATAAATAAAATCCAAGCAAACCCACCTACACAAAGTTAGAATCAACTTTGGTAGATTTCAGTGTAATACATTGTCCATAACTAGCATGTTTGCCCTTTCTCCCCATTGCTGCTCATCTTCTGGGCTAAGAATTATTTAAAATTTTTTTATTAAGATTTCATTATGTGATATGTTTCTCATTCCACATCATGTTCAGCCAAGCTCTGTACGCTCACAATTCTCTGTCTAATTGTTGGCAGCTTAGTCAGAAACATCTGGAACACTGGTGATGGAAGAGTCTGCTGTAAGACTTGCAACAACTGCTGTGGCTGCCCACATACAGCAATGGCATTTGTCAAGTGATCAACACCCTTTTCATATTCACCTTGGGGTAGTAACTCCTCACCAAGCTGTATTTCTTTAAGAAAGAACTTCTGAACATCTTCTGCATCTTTAAGGTCAGGTAACTTGGAAAGGCCAGCTCTCTCTTTAGCAAGCTTCTGTTTCTTTCTTCGCTCTTGGAACCTGTTCTTGAAGTTGGGGTCACTCCGTCTCTTGCGGTCAAAGTAAATACAGTAGCTGATGAAGAGAACCCCGCACATGCCGGCAGCAATCACGCCACTCCGGCCCACCATGTTTCCGGGTGCTGCTCACGGTGGAGATAGCAGCAGCGTCACCATCAGTACAATCATTTTAGAAAGCAATTTGGAATTACACAAAGAAAGTGACTGAAATGCCCACGCTCTTTGACCCAGAAATTTTGCTGCCAGGCATAAACCTCCAAGCAGATCATTTATAAAAAGAAAGTACCATATACGCCAAAATATTTATAGCATGAATTTGTGTGGTAGCAAAGAATTGGAAAGACATAGCTGCCTGCAGATTGGGAAGTGACTAAGCAGTTTGGAATGTTATGCCTGCTATAAGAAACAACAAATATGATGAATACAGAGAGCAAGGAAAGAGCTATGTGAACTGATGCAGAAAACTGTCATGTGAACTGAAGCAGAATCAAGAAAACAATATACATAATGACTAGACTGATATACATGCAAATTGCAATCACTGTAAAAAACACATATAAATGCAAGTAATAATCACGACCACCAAAAAATCCAATCAAAAATCAATGTTGAAAAGTTTCAAGAATCAACTATGGTTCCAGTGAAGAGAACTGAGAAGACACCTCCACACATCCCCCTTTCATTATAGAATTGAGCAGTGCACAAGTGTGGTATATTATGCATATTTCCCAATTTGGGGGGTGGACAGTATATTGATCAATTTTGTCTTCTTCCTTATTCCTCCTCCTTTTCTTTTTCTTTAAAAAATATTATTTATTATGTAAGATGACTCTCCTGGAGGGGTTAAAGGAGGGATCCTGGAAGAAATTCTGGTGATGTAAAAATAGATATCAAGTAAAATGTATTTTTTTATCAGCTGGTGTTGGTTAATATAATTTATTTGATTTGATAATCTAGTAGGAACAAAACTGACCTAAACAGAAAGATGAAAGCAGAGAATATCTCCCCTAAAGCATGAAGGGATAAATTGAATTGCTTTGCTTGAGTTTACCCCACAAATTTCATGTGCATCTGTTTATAATTACGTGATACACAAAGTAAATGAACTGAGTCATAGGACTGGTTATACAGTCATAAAGCTAGTGTTGACAATACACTCACCTAGTACCAGATTAAAAAAACTATTATATAAATATATATGAGAATATGTGTATCCTACACAATAATCCACATAAAGTATACCACATGCCTTAAAGTAACGTATTAAATATCCCACCTAATAAGCATATGAAAAGTCTATTTGGATTTTATTTATGCCTATTTATTTAGTCAAAAAGTAATGCAGACAATCAAGTTATACAATATGGACTTGCAGCTTTTCATTTGGATGACTTAATAATTCATCTGCATGGAAAACAAATGGATATTTCGCTGCTTATCTGAGAAACAAAATTTTGAATAACTTTCCAGACCTGCATACACATTGCTATCAGAGGTATGTAGCTTTTTCAAGGATTCACAATTGGTTTTCAGAGAAAAACAACAGTTGCTCCTGCAAAGTCTCTGTAGGTAACTGACTGAATTCAATCATTTTTGGACTAGATGGCTCAGAAATGTATCAAAAAGGGGCAGTGAGGTGGCACAGTGGATAGAGCATTGGCCCTGGAATTAGGATGAGCTGAGTTCAAATATGGCCTCAGACACTTGACACTCACTAGCTGTGTGACCCTGGGCAAGTGACTTAACCCTGATTGCCTCGCCAAAAAAAAAAAAAAAATGTACAAGGAGGTGATTTCAACCATTTCACCATAAATGAACACTGTCACAAAATCAAAACAATTTAGACACTGTCTAGGTTCCTCTTACTTGCCTCCTCTAGAATCACTGCTAGCTGAGGAAGAGCATGAATAAGATACAAGTGAACCTAGATGACTAATCCCTTAAATCTGTAAAAAGGTCCTGACACTTCAAGTGAGTTTTACCTAAAGACATTTGATGAGTTAGTTGCTGAAATCTGGGAACCCTCCCCTTCATATGATTCAATCATGTTCATGGAAAAATTATTAACTCTCTTGCAGCCCACCCATACTAACTCATCTCATTAAGGGTGAGTGGTGATCCACCTCTGATAAACATTGTACAAGTCTGCCAGTTCTTTAAGAAACGATGTACCTGGAAATAAGCACATATGTTCAAAGGAATGCACTGAATCAGAAGGGAATTAGCTAAGTAAATCTTGGCACAAATTCTTATTGCTGTTTCAAGTTGAGAAATGAGTACTTCCTATCCACTCCAGTGTGATTTGCAACAATAAGTACATGTAAAATTTCAACTTTGCCACGGATGCGATTCATCCACAAGTCAAAGACTTTCAAAAATCTGTGGAACAACCTGTGTTCAAAAGGAGTCCTTTAGGAATGAAGCTTGGTCTTCAATGATGGGTTGGACCCTGAGCTGTGGTACAGCTGTGGAATGACTTCACTTTTCATTTACTGGCATGAGTAGGACTGTTTTCCTGCATACTGAAGCATGAGTGTGTTACACAGAGCTACCATAACTTGAATTGTAATGAGTGATTCGGTTCACAGAAGGTCCAGGATATACATGCTATAGGCATTCCTTGTGCAAAGTTTAATGGAGGAGACAATAAAGTGGTTTCTTGGTCAACAACTGCGGTTTCTTTCTCTTAAAGTCAGTGGGTTTCTAGTATAGCTCCATTACAATTGACCCAGGTTTAATTTTATTCATCTCCATGAAAGCAAAACACTTGATGGTGTTAAAACTTTTCTTAGGCTTATAGTGTTTGAATTCAAAGAAAATGGCTACACCTTTGGTTAATTTTTCAATGTGTTTTTTTTTCTGAAGTTCAATGTACACATTAAAGTCTCTCTCTCTCTGTGTGTGTGTGTGTGTGTGTGTGTGTGTCTGCATGTATATAGATAAATGACTAGATAGATAGGTAGATAGACAGACAGATAGACAGATCCTCCTTTGTTAAAGCCACAGGAACATCTTGCAAAGGCGTTAAATCTATGCCCTTCGTATCTGGAACTCTAGCAGAGAAGGAATCCAGAAATGCTGTTCTAGCACCACCCTTTTCATCATCATCCTCAAATTTCAAATTCTCTTCTTCACCAGGCACTAAAATTACTGTTAATGGAACACGCTGACCATCAAAGGAGAATATTTTTTTTTATCAAAAGTAAGAATATTCTTTAGGATTGGTTCCAGCTTTTTCAGGTCCTCCAATTTAAGTTAATCTTGAGACAGCATAGACTGCAAAACTGCACTTTGTAATTCCGAGCATGTTGCAATTTTACCAGTGGTCTCCTTTTGCTCTTCTGTGAATTCATGTTTACTGTGTTGAGCCTGAGACTTTTTTTTCTGAAGCTGTCTTACTGATGTCTGATCCTCATCTATCATCTCTGCCAGCAGCCTCCATGAGTTGAAGTCAGTAGCCCTTCTGGAGCTGGTGTCCCAGTGCTGAAAAAGGTTCCAGATCCCCTCTGACCTGAATTGTTCAGTCCTTTTCCAGCCCCACTTTGCTCATACCTGAAGACTCTAGGGAGTCATCACCACTGGCTCACTCTGTGGCATGCCAGGGGCTTGGAGGAATTGCTTCATTCATTGTTGATGCCACCACCACCTCCTCCCACTCAAGAGCCACTTGAAAATTTATTTTTCACATGAAAATAGAAAGGAGGTCACATCTTTAATTGTTTCTGTGACCAACAGAAATCTCGATCAAGCTGAACCCTCTTGTCCATCAGTGATCATCAGTGATTCAGAAAGGACTGTCAGGAACAACCCCCCTGTCTCCATACCCAATCATTGCTTTAATTGTACATGGAATGTCAGTCAATTAGTCAATATATATTTTTAAGTGACTACTATATTCCAGACACAGTACTGTGCCCTGGGGGTAGAAATAATGGGGAGACAGCATAAAAGCAATAATGCAAAAACAAGCTATATAGAGAGTAAATTGAAATTAATGGACAGAGGGTAGGCACTAGAATTTAGGAGGACCCAGACTTTTCTCAAGTCTATTTAGCTCTAGAAACAAGGGGCAACTTATCAGGAACATAAACACTTCCTAAGGTGCCTTCACCATACATGAACTACATCTCTCTGTGAGTCACAGGATGATACATAGATTGGAGAGAGTGACATCAAAGGCTGGTCTGTGGCTGTCTGTCACATGAGGACTAGAAGTTGGAAGCAGGAAAAAAAAATAAACAGAGGTGATGCCCCTAACTAACCTGATTTCAAAGAAGAAGTCGCATTATATGCATGTTGTTCAGACATAGATGGGGAGATGGCCTCTGAGGTTGCTTCCAATTCTGATATTCTGTGTGACCCAGTCCTATGGATTTAATCAGATCTATAGAAAAGCAGATGAATCCTAACAGGTTAGAGGAAATAAGTTTTTTTTCCCCATCATTACAGAAATTATCTAATTTGAGGGTCATTTTCCCCTCTTGCTAAATAATGATGAGGAAATAAGCTATTACTGGTGATGGCTGCCATTCAGGATGGTATAAAAGAGCCCTGTGGGGTCAGGAGACTTTCAAACTGAAGTCACTCACTCACCTGGAAACAAACCCAGAAGCTCAATCCACCAACACCATGGTCAGCTCCTGTTGTGGCTCCACCTGCTCTGGCCAGAGCTGTGGCTCTGGCTGCTGTGCTCCCTGCTGCTGCCGGATTGGCTGCTGCTTCCGGCCTCCTTGCTACCAGAGCACCTGCTGCAGGACCAACTGTTACCGGCCCACCTGCATTGTGTCCACCTGCTGCCGCCCCAGCTGCTGTGGGTCCAGCTGCTGCCAGCCC